CCAAAGGAAGATGTTTGGGTTTTGGTTTTTTTTTCCTTTGGCTGCTTTTTCTTTGGCTTACTCTTTAATGAATTCCAGCATCTGGACAGGCGTCATCAGCAAAACTTCTCTGTGGGGAGCAACTCTGTTTTTTAAGGAGCTGTACATCTCAGTATAGGCAGCTGTTGCAGGAACCTCCAGCGGAGCTGTAGGACCCTTGGTTCCAGGATCACAGTGGGAACAGGGCTCTTCCTACATGACAACGAAACGAGCAGAGCCAGGTAGTCCCAAAGCACAGCTGCATGGGCCAGCATCTCCATCCAGGGGAAAAAGACAACCATCCAGCCCTGTGGTGGGGGTTTGCACCCCCGCATGGAAGCTGGAGTTCTCCCCAGCATAAAGATGAAGGCAATGGAGCATCATGGAGAAATAGCTACGCTCTGCTTCTTTCCAAGCTGATGGCGCAGCCCGTGTCCACAGCTGCCTTTTATCTGAGAGGTCGAGATTCTGCAGAGGTATAAATCTTTAAGCATCTGCAGTGTGACTCACTCGTTTCCTCTGGCAGCCTTGGTGTTTAACCCAGTAAGAAAGATGGGACCACAGAGGAGGATTTATTGTCTTGTTCCGGCTTAGTGCTCCACTGTAGAAGCCTTCCTGGTGCATGTAAGCAGGCAGGTGAAAGGAGTGATCCTGAAGAAGATAGCGATCGAAACGGAGGCCTGGATGGAGATAACTGGAGATCAGTGTTGGTAACATGCTGAGACGGGCCTGTCCGTCTCTGCTGTCATTGTTCCTCTCCTAAAGATTAGGAGAGTGTGGCATGGGCCTCCCTCAGGGTAAGAAGGGGCCACACATCACCAGGCATTCAATGTGGAGCTCAGCCTTCTCGCCCAATGGCAGCAGCCACCTGAGGCCCGCTGGAGTTGGGCAGATGGGGCTCGGTGTGCCTCAGTTGGGCATTAAGAAGTCCCTTTTCTGATCCTGCAGCCAAAGTGGGCTGAGCCCCAGAAAATGCCCAGAGCTGCCCAGGGGCTGTGTCTGCACTGGGGTGCCTGGGTCCCACGGCACGGGCATTGCAGCCGGAGGCTGGACATAGGTAGCTGGGAGGCTGCTGCAGAGCTGGGGGCAGCCCTGACTTCCCCCTTGGGAGCTCTTCCCTTGCTGCACAGCACCTGTGGTTGGGTTCTGTCCTTCAGGAAAGCACTGTGTCCCTTTCCTGCTCACCCTCAGTCCTGGGAGAGTGTTTGTGGGGTTGGTCAATCACTTGATGCTCTCAGGGTAATTAAAGCTTGGCATCTCAAATCCTGTAAGATCATAGGGGCAGAGCCCAGCAGAGGGTCTGTCAAAACCATAAGGTAATCTAAAATCCGTCCTGGTCCTTTCTGGTGCATCCTAAATATACCAGAGGCAGGTCCTGTCCCTGCCGGCTGCCCCTCTACCGCCTCTGGAGCGTAACACCCTGAGACAGCACCAAAATGCTGCAGAGCTCCAGAAATGCAGGAAATGTCTGGAGCTGGCTCTTGCAAAGCAGCCATTTTCCGAAACAGCACCTCATCCTCCCCCAGGCTCCTTTACCCTCCTTCACCACTGCAGCCTCTCCATGTTGGTATCGCCAAAGTAAAATTCCCAGCTTCGTTGCTAGCATCCAGCCAGCTGAGCGAGTAGGAATCCCAACAGAGGCTTGTGCTGGAAATAAAGGACAGGTCAGGCTGCTTATGCTCGAGGGACAGAAACAAAGCGGCGCTGGAGGGTATTTGAGGTTTGGAATATATTACATTAGCTGCACAGTCACATCTGCCTCTCATTCCCCTAATGGTTTGGGAGAAATGCTGTGTGTTTGCATTTCATAACTGACAGCTGAGCCGGGAGATACTTGGAGGTTGGACAATCCTTGCTTTATGTGCCGGTGCCCTGGACTTAACTCTGCAGGTGCTTAGCTCTGCCTGGGCACCCCGAATTTCTCTGCGCTGTTTCACTGGGGGCTGCTGGTGGGATGCGCTGCCCCAGCTGTGCCCTGAGTCCCCTCCCTTGCCTCCGAAAGGTCCCCCTTGCTTCGCCCACCTGCATCACCCCATGGTGAGCAGCCTGGCCAGGGCACCGTCCCCGAGGTTATTGGTGCGGCAGGGTCAAGGGAGGTGGGATGCGCTGCTCCTGGGCTGCAGCGCTAGTTGAGTAGCCTGTGACTGTCACACCGTGTCCCTGGGGTTCTGGGGCAGATTGCCATGAGAAGGCAGTTCCTGGGAAGGCAATAGGACAGCATGCTGTGGGCAGGATCACCCAGCGGGAAGCCTGCCCATGCTCTTTCCGTGTCCCGCTGCCCTCCCATGTGTCCCTCTACAGGCACATCTCAGGCAGAGTGTGCGCCCCTTCCAAATATAAGCCAGTGCTGGTCACACCAGCTCTGTGGGCACCTTTGCCTGCTGGCTGTATTTGGGAGGTGGGTGCACTCTACCTTCTTCAATCTGCTATTGTGTAAATCACTTTTTCTTCACTTGTGAAGGCAAAGAGGCTATTTTTAACCCCTGAGCATGCAGGCAGGGTGGAGGAGAAATGGCAGGTATCTTGGGACCGAACTGTCAGGGGTGTGATGCAAATCAAACCCCCAGAGTGCATTTTCTGGGCGAATGAGGGTGCGCTCAGCCATGGCAGACCTTGTTCCCCCAGCCAGCCGGCCGTGAACTCTTCTACAGAGCAGGGTCACCGCAACAGGCAGCTGGGGGTAAGACCCAGATGTGCCCCAGTGCCATCAGTGGATCCAGCCCTGCCTCGCAGCCCCACCAGCAGAGTTTGGCAGCCGGATCCCCAACACCAAGCTCTTTGCAGGGGACCACAGGGACTGCCGAGGACTGAACTGGCTGCGGGTCAGACACTGAGGTGTGTTCCCGGGGTTGAAGCAGCAGCAAAGAAGACAAAACAGCTTGGTTTGATCCACATAACTATTTCTTTCTTTTCTGGTTCCAGGAACTACTCTGGCACCACCGCGAGGGCAGTAAGGTCTTGTGATGATAACCTTGCCAGGGCACTGACACGCAACACACGCACACGCTGAGTCTCCGGCTCTTGCAAAAGCGATCGCTGGCAATTTTAAGGCATTGAAGGAAACCTATAGTTGTAAATCCTATATCAAATTTGGCACACATTGGAACAGTTAGAGCGGAGACGAGGATGCTTTGCGGGCTGGTGTTCGGGAGTCCTGTAGCTTCCCAGCCTCAGCTGGGGCATGATGCTAAAGTGAGCACTTTAGAGGTTTTCATGTGATGACTGTGCAGACAAACAAGGGGCCCTGCAGACTCCGATATTGTGGAGCCAGTGATACCAGACAAGGTGCTGTGCCCCGTGGTGTGGTGGTGCCTTCACCTCCCATGTACTGGTTCCCCGCTCTGTACCTGCCTGGACTAACACTGCCGAAAACCAGACAGGTTTGTCCAGACAAAAAGGAAAAAAGAAGGTTCCTTGTAATTTAAAATGTAAGTGGCTCATAGACCAGATGTCAGGTGTGGTTACAGTCCAGTATGGCTATTTCTGTGCTTCTGGGATTAAAAGTGGACAGCTACGGCTTGAGAAGTGGGGAAGAGTTTAGCTATACGTGGATTTGGATAGTAGATGAAGGTCTATAGCCTTGAAACTAGGTATAGTTGAATTCTTTCCCTTACCCCCCCTTCCCCGGCCAGCCGGCTGAGCAGCAGTCCCAGCCAGCTCCCCCTCGCCCACTGAGGGAGGGATGGTAGGTGCTACAAGTTCACTGTGCCACCACAACAACAACCAACATGCATCTAGCTACCTGCCCACGCCCCCACCCCATTTAAAAGGGAGCAATGTACCAACCTCGGCCTCTGCATAGCAGGACTTGAGAGGAAGCCGGCCCCAGGTCAGTGTCCCTGGGGAGTTACATGTTGCTAAGGGGGGCTTCCTGCAAGCCCAGTGCAGCTTTGTGCCCAGAGGGGCAATTTAAAGGCCGAGTGGAGACTGTTCCCCCTCAAATGCAAAACGGATGGGGTCCTGACAGTTACATTTTTGCATTCGCAATGATTCCTTCATGCAGGTTTAATCTCCCTCTTTTCTTGGCAGAGGTTATGGTGCCCTCAATCATCTCAGCCCGGCTGGATGATATTTTAGAGGTCACTTTAATCACCTCTCCTTGCTCCTCCTCCTTGAAGGACAGAGTAGAGGAACTAAAGCCCCTTGGCTGGAAGGAGTAAGTGGGGTTGGGGAGGGGATTGAGCGTTGAAAGGCTGCTGCTTCCCGTGCTGAAGAGGGTCTCCTCTCCCTCCAACAGCTTCCTGCAAGCACATCACAAGGGAAGAGGTTAGTCTAGGGTTGTCTCATCTGAAATATCTGCAAAGCCTGAGGGCATGCCGTGACCTGTGAGCAAGTCCGAGAGCTCCAGGCTGTCACCCCAGCCTGCAGTGGACACATGCTCAGGTCACACTGCACCATGAAACTGCTTCAAAAATCATATGCTTTGGTCAGTCATTTTTGGAGCACCTGGGATACACAAGATGAGCTCCCTCCTCTTCCTCCAGAAATTCCAGGGAAATAAAACACTGAACCAGATGGACTCTGACTTTTGCGTCTACATTGACTTTGCAAGAGAGACAAGTTTCCAACCCCAACTGTCCGCCATTAAAAACCACTGCTGCTGGGATGGCTGGGGGACATGGATCACAGCTGCTAGATCAAGGCATGACGTGGAGCCATGGCTACTCCCCAGGCAGGAGCATGGCAGGCACAGGCAGGGGAGAGGAGGAACACAATCACGTGTACCCAGATAGTTTCCAGGCCCTTGACTATATCCCAGCCTGGTGGGGTCAGGGGATTGGGATTGGGCTTGGGGGTGGCTGGGCAGAGCAGGGTCAAAGCAGCCTTACCTGTAGGCAGCTATCTCAATGTCAAGTGCCATCTTGACATTAAGCAGGTCTTGGTACTCCCTCAAGTGCCGAGCCATCTCATTTTTGGTGTTTCGCAGGTCATCCTCCAGCTGCCCAATGGTGTCCTGCAAAGGCAAGGGTGCTCAGAGCTGTGTTTCAGAGCAGGGACCTCTCCCGTGGGTCTGCTACTCTGCCCACTGTGGAGCCAGGGAAGCTGCAATGGGCAGTTGGTCCACGATGGCACATCCCACCAGCAGTGTGGGATCATGAAATCTCACGCTAACAGGGATGGAGAAGCTGGCAGAGCACCAGGCATGAATTGTGAGGGTGTGCACGGAAGGGGGATACTTCAGACGTCGATGGATTTATATATTTTCCCATCTGCAGCAGGGTCTCTGAGATGGGGGGGCAAACAGCACTCAATGGTGGAGCCCCCAGTCCTGCGGGGGACTAGGCAGGCTGCAGCAGAGGGGAGGGAAGAGCTGCCGGGGAGGGACAGGAAGTTTTGGGCTTAAATATCATCAAAGCAGGGGCGGTGGCTCAGCAGGACAAGCAAGAGCACCCACCACTGCAGCAGCACAGGGCTGGAGCGCGTTCCTGGAGAACGGCTGCAGTCTGTGCCTGGGGGGGCTTCAGAAGGGTTGGGACATGTGTCCTGGGTGGTGGAAGGAGAGGAAGGAGGAGGGAAGAGCTGGTTCCAGGAGGGGAAGGTTGACACCTGCCTCGAAAAGTGCCTCGGGGAGTTAGGGGACGTTACAGAGTCAGGGCCCTGCCCTGTGACAGCCAAGGTGCTCAGCTGGATGATGACATACTTCTAGCATCCTTCCCATCAGCTTCACCCTGCCATGGCTGCTACATCCAGTTCTGCCTGCAATGTGGAAGAGTCTGAGGCCAGATCTCCTTGCTAACAAAGGGGACTAATCTTTTTTTCTATTTTTTTTTGTCAGAAAACAAGCAGCCCAGTTTCCTCCCACATGCATCCAGGTATCTAAGCAGCAGCCTGAAAGCAGTGAAACCCGCTCCTATCGGGATCTTCCCAATCAGACGGTTTCTTTGCATTTAAGTTACAGAGCAGCCCTGCCTGCAAAGCCCTGCAATGGCCATTGTCAACGCCTGCTCTCCCGCAACCCCTCCTACAGCCAGGCCTTTGCAAATGCTTCCAGCTCATCTATTCCAGCAAACAAGCTTTGTCCAGCCACACCATCCCCATCCTGTCCCCGTCCTCATCCCCATCCTGTCCCCTCCTTTGTGTCCTGCATAACCTCCTCTGTGCGTAATGCAGACAACCACGAGATGTGGAGCTGCCCAAGGAGCAGGGAGCTGCAGTGAGCCTGACACAATGAGCCCAGTCTGAGCAGAGACCCTCAGAGAAACAGTGCCAGCTCATCTTGAATGTGGCTTGGGGCATCTCACAGTCAAGTTAGCTGGACGCATCCCGCCTCGTGGGACATTTACAGGCCATCCTTGGGGTCTCTGTCTTGAGCTGTGCTGCCCTGACCATCTCCCGCAGCAAAAGAGCTGCATGGAGCTGTGCCTCTGAGGTGGGACTGGGCAATGGGAAGAGCTTCAAGGAGACCATTGGGGCAGCAACTGCAAAGCCCCAGGACGTGCGTGGATGCTACTGCAGTACAGATTAAAATCTCTGCTGTGATGCAGCCAGACTGCTGCTGCACTGAGCCATGACAGGAGGGAGGGACTTGGGGTGACCTAACCCTGGGACAGCTCCACTCTTGCTGCTCAGACCCTCCCTGGCAAAGCCCTGCAATGGCCATTGTCAACGCCTGCTCTCCGCAACCCCTCCTACAGCCAGGCCTTTGCAAATGCTTCCAGCTCATCTATTCCAGCAAACAAGCTTTGTCCAGCCACACCATCCCCATCCTGTCCCCGTCCTCATCCCCATCCTGTCCCCTCCTTTGTGTCCTGCATAACCTCCTCTGTGCGTAATGCAGACAACCACGAGATGTGGAGCTGCCCAAGGAGCAGGGAGCTGCAGTGAGCCTGACACAATGAGCCCAGTCTGAGCAGAGACCCTCAGAGAAACAGTGCCAGCTCATCTTGAATGTGGCTTGGGGCATCTCACAGTCAAGTTAGCTGGACGCATCCCGCCTCGTGGGACATTTACAGGCCATCCTTGGGGTCTCTGTCTTGAGCTGTGCTGCCCTGACCATCTCCCGCAGCAAAAGAGCTGCATGGAGCTGTGCCTCTGAGGTGGGACTGGGCAATGGGAAGAGCTTCAAGGAGACCATTGGGGCAGCAACTGCAAAGCCCCAGGACGTGCGTGGATGCTACTGCAGTACAGATTAAAATCTCTGCTGTGATGCAGCCAGACTGCTGCTGCACTGAGCCATGACAGGAGGGAGGGACTTGGGGTGACCTAACCCTGGGACAGCTCCACTCTTGCTGCTCAGACCCTCCCTGCCTACAGGCCCTTTCCCTCTGCCTGCAGCCTGCATGAAAAAAACACATTTTAAAAATGGGTTATCCTTGTTACCTTGTCTGTACCCCTCTTCTACGCCCCAGCTCTACCAGCTGGTTGAATAAACCCCCCTCCCCTCACCATTGCAAACCTGTCCCCTAATGGAAAGCTCTCGCATATTGGTTCAGATTTGACTGGATAGCCTATATAAAGACATGTTCCTGCTTTAGCAGTCTATAGGAACATTTTAAAAGCTCAAACAATAGGAATATTCTCTTCTAAGACAGACTCCGATCCTTTTCACTGGTTGCAGCCACAAAAATTATTTAGCTGCTACACATGCACATTGTTCAAAAGACTCCTAAGTGTTACCACACTTCAAGCAGATCCTGAGGTCATGCAGTTAAAAGCTGCTGTGCTATAACTAAACCGATTTCAGTTATGGTGCTGTTTAATCCAGTTGCATTATTTTTTTCCCCAATTGATAGGTTGTTCCCAGAATCCCTATTTTCACTTGGCATCACGACTCTTTAAGAAGATTATTGTATGTAATCCTTTCACCCACTACAGAAAATATTGTATATTACCCATTTCCACAATATTTGTTGAAGAAGACCTCAACTATTCAGGAAGACTGCAAGCAGCTTGGAGCTACAATCCTGAATTCTAGGGAGCCTGGCAAAATTTGGCCTTGAAAATGACAAGGCATTACTTGGGTGTGAAATAACAACGTCCTTCAGGTATGACGTAAAGCAGTTGCTTCAGTATTTAGAAGGAAATGGCTCGATTTAGAAACCACAGATCATTTAATATCCATGTAACAGAACAATCTCAGGATTTATTTTATTATAAATCATGAACATTTCCCTGTAGCAAGAAAATGCAGTAATACTGCGGTAATGGAATAAGAGATATGGAGTGCTCAGTGAAGACTCATCCCACATGAGTCTTTCCATGGACACAGGAGATGCTGGGATCTGGCTGCAGATTCAGCCTTAATGTTTGCAGAGCTCCAATTTCTGCAGTGCAGGTGCCAAGAGCCAGGCCACAGGGCGAGGGGCCAATCCTGAGCAGACAGCTTCGAGGAATTACGCACAACGATGGGGAGCGTGTGGACAATTTTGGAGCTGACCCTTAAGGGACAGGGCAAGGATGGAGCAATAACCCAAACAGCTCTGCCATGTGCAAGGATCCCCCCTGTGGGAAGGGGGGATGTTGGAGGGAGTGTCCTGGCCCTGCCTGTTCCCCCAAAACCTGTCATGTGGGGTTCTGCCTGTGGATAAAAGGTGAAGGCAGCAGGCAATGCCCTGGTGAAGCAGGATCTGCTATGCAGGGCAGAGAGGCCCTCTGCCAGGGTGGGAGGAAGGCTGAAGGGATGCCTGGGGCTGCGCAGTGCTGCGGGGGCACTGGCCCCGGGTGGGTGGGCACTGCAGAAGGCAGAGGGGTTTGGTGCTGTATAGTACCGGTGGCTGGAGGGTAGGGGGGGTGTTGCATGGGGTGCAGCACAAGCACGGGATATGGGTGCTGCACGGTGCAGGGCGGGCACCGCATGGGGCTGGAGTATCAGAGCAGAACTGCGGGGGGGG